GGAGAAAGAGAAAAGGAAAAAAGAATAGTAGGCAGAAAGGTATACTAAACTGGTTAATTTAGTAGTATAATTATAAGTTTTAAGTAATTTATAAGTTCAATCTGTAATTGTATTTATAAGTTATCACTAAATATATTGAAATCACTTCTTATGTATAGATTTTTGCAAATTCAGTGTTAAATATATATATATTTTTAATAAAGCTTTTAGCTTGTTAATAATAAAAAATTATCTTTTATAGTTGATGAATTTATTGATTAATTTAGCACTCGCGCAGTTGGGCGGGTGAAAATTGGGGAACGGAAAAGAGATGATTCGAACATCTAAGTGTTAATACACAATATTTAGCAAATATCTTGCTTTACCTATAGCGACTTTTCCTTTTATCGGGTTAAGTCGGCTACGATCCGACATCTATTTCCTCGACAAGGAAATCCTTTACCAATTAAGTTATTAACCCTTAATATAACTAACTAAATTTAAATTAGCATTTTTTTTTGTAAACAATAAGTTCACTAATTAATTTATATTTATTTTTTCTTTTTACTACATACGGCTGACCGGACTCGAACCGGTGATATTCGTTTGGAAGACGATGGGTTTACCACTAACCTACAACCGTTACATTTTACTTAAGAATCTTTATATTTTATATTAAAAGTATAACAACTATAAATATTAATTACTAGATTTTGGAATATAATATTAAAATGTTTATTGCTGCTAGTACGGTAACAGCTGAACAGCTATAAATGTAAGCATTTCACCTTAATAATCTAGCGGCAACGCTGAAACTGAAATCATTAGACCGTTGCTGAAACCAGTAGTGAATAAGCATAAGAATGAATAAAAAAAAATAATAGAAATGGCTCCTACATAAACTAATAGATAAGAAAGACCTAAAAAGCTTAAACCTATAGATAATAAATATAAGGATATAGAAAGAAATAATCCTATTAAAAATAAAACAGAAAAGATCATAGTAACCATATTTATCATATTTACATAACATTACCTATACTACTTATTTGATCATTATTAATTAAATTATTATCTCAACCAGTAGTGAAGTATGTTATTTAATTCGATAACCTGCGAATAATCTTACCGCTTCTTGAATATTATACAGGTGTTGCATGACTATCTGCAGTTAATGTCGTGAGATACATTAGAAAAGATAAAATTAAACTTTCTGATAAACTGCTTTTATTCATAGCAGTTTTAATAGAAACTGAGTTTTCTATATATTTAAGAGTTAAATGAGCTTGTTGCAGCAATTGTAGTAAAAATAAATATAGAAAAAGTGGAATGGACTGAAAATATATATTATTAAATCATAAAAAGTAACAAATTAACTACTTTACAAGATATATAGGTTTATATATCTATTAATTAGAATATTAAAATATTGGAATGTTATAATAACTTAATTATGGAATTTGGCCAAATAAATTATAAGGAAATGTAACCAGCCACCTACCTATATTAATTAAGGTCAACTATGAAAGAAACGATTATTTATAATTTTGAGATCGATTTAGGTAAAAACGTCTATAACCTATTTTTTTTCTTTTCCATTTTTATTGAGAATATCTGCTAATTTCAATTTGTCACTTTATGTAGCCATTTCTATTTTTAATAATATGATTAAACTCATTTAGTTTTTTTTTATGATATTTCTATTAAAAAAATAAGATAGATTTAATAAAGATATCAGTTATTTTTATATTTGTATTACGTTTTTTCTTCTTTTGTTGAAAGTATTTATAAAATTAAGTCTAACCCTCGTAACAAATCTGAGAAAAATGTAAGTAAATTAATTCTTAATAGCTTAATTGGAAGATTTGGTATGAATTTCCAAAAAACTATTACTAAACTAGTAGATAAAGATACTCATAATAGAATATCTATAACTCGTATATTATCTAATTCTATTGAATTAAATGATAATTCTTTATATGATACCTATAAACCTTATATTAATAAAGAGATTTGTGATAGTTTTGGTGTCGATTTTGTTAAAGCTTTGAATAATGAAAACTTTGACGAAAATCAAGTTTCTAAATCTTATAAA